CTACAATGAATTTCTATTGTAATCATTGTTTGAAGCAACATATCTGATTACATGGAATTTAAATGTGTTCGCATACACACTAACAAATTATTATCTACAAATTTTTTATACATGAGAAACCATCTGGCAACAATATGATTAAACTGTGGTCAAATGTACACTCTCAACTTGCACAAGTACTATAAAATTGATAAAAACAAAACGAAAAAAATAAAACAAAAAAAAAAGAGAGCAAAAAAAAAGGAAAGAGAAACCCTCAAATAATCCATTATATCAGTGAGAGCTAAGTATACGTAATACACATATGTGTAAAAATATATATGCTTGTGTCATATTTTGTTGTTGGTATTTTACTAAAGATAACAGTAAATTATTATAGTAGATACATGTTTGTATAAAAATTTCAGCCTTAAAGTAGGCAACATTTTAATATTTGTGTTGCATAGACAACCGAATTTGCTTTAAATTATGTGCTATTTGTTGCTGCATATTTCAGTTGAGTTCGTTAAGCTTTAATAGGAGTTTTTTCTCACAACCACATATGATGGTAAACTATGCATAAAGGATCATTCGCTTGTTATTTTGTGTGCGTATGTTGTCTTGTGTAACTATAACACACAAAAAAAAAAAAAAAACAAAAAAAAAAAAGAACAGACCAGAGAGATGGAAACAGAAAGGAGAGGGGAACAAGCATAGACCAAAAATACAACCAACAGTTAGTGACAACGTCTCATTTTTCATTATATGTCATTTACGAAAGTTTATACTACTCGGAGAAGCATGCTTGTGTATGTATGTACGTACGTACGTACGTACGTACGCTGACATTAATGCGAATGGATGTAGGTGCACGTAAAAGTGTCTGTGCATATGGATGCGTGTTGATATTGGTATAAAAGTTTATAAAACTGTAAACTTCTATCTATTTGTCTGTCATTCGGTTTGTCCCGGTTGACAGATTCGCTCATTCATTTATGTTTCATCGCCACTACTACACATTTTCATTTCACTTTATTATATAATTCACTCACACCGGAATATCATGCATGCATGCATATATATACACTCGTTTGGAATCTTTATGTTCTATGTATTTGAATTTGTATGTATTTTGTTGATGTGATTATACTTGTTGTGTGTTTATTTTGCGTTATTTTTTTTTTTTTTTTTTTTTTAATTTTTTTTCGTTTTCGTCATGTTAATGAAGTGATGTTGACTGAACATGAAAATTTTAGTAGTAGAGTTGAAATTTCATTTTATTTTAGTGAAATGCACATAAGCACAACAGCACACCAGCACACCAGCACACCAGCAAATCAGCCGGCTAAGGCTGCTGAGAATATGTCGATAATAAATGTTTTCTGCAACGTTTAGAACAGTGTATAATTTTGTAACCTAAGCAATCACTAATTAATTAATTACTTTAACTGGCAATATAAAATGGTCACCTCTATAATAGCTTGCTGTTTGATTCAAAATAAAGCTTATCATGTTTTTCGTTATTTGGTAGGTTAGCTCTTTACTTCAATGCTAACTCCGGGATAAAAGCTGGTGCACTTCTCTCATTTCATATATCAGTATACTTGGAAAGACAGCAACTGTCGCAACATATTTCTGCATTTGTATGCTAATCAGTCAAGTGAAATATAAACTCCACATCTTTATATATTTATGTAAGAAAATTATGCAAAGCGTCTTTACCTATCTATCTAAGCGAGAAAGACAATTTTATGTAATTTTCCAGGATTAAACATCAACCATATATGGGAATAAAAAACATCCTCTTGATAGTGTATGGAGTTGGGCTCCCATTTCCGGAGGTGGCTTTAAAGCTATACAGGTATTATTAGTAGTCATTAGCGCGTAAAGTGTTTGCCATCAACTATTCGCCACAGTATGTTTCCTTAATGACTGGCTTTTTCGTCCTTTTTTTGTAGCGAACAATTCACTTTATACTTTTTGTTACGTCTTCGTAAATTTTTTCTACACGAATTTACTGCAATAATGGCTTGGGATTTCGCTATTGCATGCTTATCTTGATATGAGTTCGTTTTTCATCAACCTTGCAAAGTTTGAAAGCTTATCGGCATTCAATCTTAAAACCAAAATTAGTAATTTGGTATTTTGGTTTCTTCTTTATTTCAAAGAAGAAGTTTTTCAAAGTTTTTTTTTTTTTATTAGGAACGGATTTATGGTAAGAAACAAAGTTTTCGAAAGGCTTCTTGTCTGTTGCGTGGAAAGGATAGGATCATGGGTAAACTGTACGTCCTGTCACAATTACACAATTTGCTTGCCTCGTGTCAATAACGAATAGATTCGGATTGCTTATCCTTTGACATCTCGCATGTAAAATAACGGAATTTACATCAGGGAAAAAAAATCTTGATTTGCTCTCCGCTGCTCGTGTCTTTTGTTTGTCTGCCAGCTTATAATCAAATCTTTTCCTTTTGAATCTTCACTGTTCAAAGTTCGCCTTACTTGCTTGGAAGAAAGGAAATTTATATATGTACTTGCAAGAGCGATTTTTGACCAAGCAATTAAGATGCACATGAAGTAATCAAAAGTTTTACTGAAAGGTTAAAAAACTTCAATGTGTTTAAGTTCATTGCCTTTGAAATGTACCCGATACAGGCCCAGGCAATTTCCCGCACATAAATTACGATAAACTGCTTTAGAAAATGTTCTCTGTTCGTTTAAGGTCAGAGACTCTGTCGGGATAAAGACTTTCGTAAGCGGTAAGTCCAGAACACATGCTGTGGCATGTACAACTATTTCATGTAGAATATGTATCTGTGTCTTTCAGAATTTGAATTTCGATAGTTTATTTAAGGTAAGATCAAATAATCGAAATATTTTTTAGTAAAAGTTTAATTTGCTTTCAACGATACCATTACGCTTTTGCCTTACGGCCTTAAAACCTTAATTTTACTTTATTATTATTATTTATTTTGCTTTTGAATTTTTCATGAAATTGTTATTTTATATTTAATACTTATAAGTGTAAATAATATCCAATGTGAAAATGAACTATTTTTGCTTTTCCTTAACCCAAGATAAATAGAACGAACGAAAAATAAAGAAAATACTCAAATAACACTTAAACTCTTTTTTTTTTTCAAGTTTTTATTAATATTTAAAGGGCTTTGCTAGAGTTTTCATGCTAAGTATTACCATAAAAATAACTTTGGTTAAACCTCAAAGACAACGCAAACCCCCTGAAGAGGAATTTTCAACTTACACATCTCATGCATATGTACAGGCATGCGTTACGTAACTGAGATGCCAAACCGGCCGAACAGTGAAACAAATCCACAATTTAAAGTAAGTAGTAAGCACATCTTGAAGCATTGCTTGAAAAGTTAAAGACGTGCGCTTTCACTGACTCTGCAATTTAATTTTTTGCAGTTTTACAGGCTGTTTTGCATATTGCTTTTGGTCAGTGAATTGAGAATTAAGTGTGCGAGTGGTTGAAAGATGTAAAACTAAATGGCTCTTGGTTGTTGTGTTATTGCCCTTGCTGTGATCATTTACTTCCAGAAGCACAAGCTTAAGCAAAATATATAGAATAATGAAACATATACAAACAAACACAAGGTGCACATTGCGCCTTGATGCGAACTTTGGATACTCGCCTTTTAAAAGTATATAAATATCGCATTTTATTTATTTTATTTTAACTAGCAATGGATCAATTGATATCTACTTTAATGCCTTGCATGCAAGAAAAGATGTAATTGGATAGGCCTTCCATTACCTTATAGACAAAAGGATGGACTGACAAACGGACAGCAGACAGCGGACAGCGGATGGATTGCAAGGCACAAGGCATAATTCATTTCGGAAATGGACGTACAGACTGACTACATCTTCGAAGCTTCAAACGTATGTGCCTAATTTCCAAAGGGAGGGGAAAGAGAGGTAAGAATTTCGCTTTAAATGCTAAAAAGTTGAAGTGAAACCAAAGTAAACTAACATGACAGGATAAGGCATCCTGTTTTGTATAATTTCTAAATAAAACTTAATAGTTGAACTCTTTGGTCGACTGAAATCTGGTGCCGATAAACTTTGCAAATTTTAAACGTTTTAACAAGTGAAAAGCAAACCGTAGACGTTATTGTTTGTGTTTGACACTTTAAGAATTTAAGCAACATTATCTCAATTTAAGTGACTATACTATGAGCACAACTTTTTCCTATCACATAAGCAAAAACACAAACATATACAAAAAATATTTTGAAAATGACATAAAACGTTCTCAAGTCCCGTCCCTTTGTTGGAATGGTGTTGTGTTTAAAATTAAAATTATTTTTTAATGTCTTCAAGAAATCTTTGACCGTTTTCTTCCTTTAGAGTGGCATAACGACATGTTCTGTTATAAATGGGGTTTCAGTGTCACATAGCCTGTCAATGTACAGCAAAAAATACATGGAATGGAACAAAAAGCTGGTAGACGATAACTGAAGGCGATGGTTCACAGTACCGGGCGACCAAGTTTAGATAACGACAGAAAGACAGCGGGAAGAAAAAGGTGACCTGGAATCCTTTAATAAAACAGCTTGAACTGACGAATATCTTGATTAAATCAACCATAAATGGGGACAAGTAACGGATGGAATGTCTTTTGTCTTTTGTTATTCTGCAGAGACGGCTAAGTAAAGACAATGTTCAAAAATTTCTTCCTATTATTCGTTACAACCTTAGTGAGCATAGAAAATTTCGATTTAAAAAGCATGCTTTCGACATTAGTTTGCTTCTGCAAATATTTTAAATACACTGCTAGGGAAGGAAACAGTAAAATATTGTGTTCAAGTAAAAGTTATGTCTTTGTTCCTTTTAAACATCTTAAAGGTGAGAATGCAAATAAATCTTGTGGAGCAACGTTTGGGAAATCGCCAAGGTTTAGCTTTCAAATTTTAACGTTGCTTGTCGGTGGCGCCGATCGTTTAACTTAAGTGAAGCAGCGAAAATTTCTATCAATATGAACGGATGTACTTACTTACCTTTGAGTTTAGGAAAAGCAACAATTAAATAATTATGCGGATGGTTTTTTGGCATGGATCAATTATATATGCCGTACTGCTTGGGTAATCATCAGTCAAGCTGCTTATCTGATGCCTGTTGCTGGGACGGACACTCCTGCAAAAGAAGATAGTAAAAATTGAAACTTAGTTTGGAGCTAAGGAGTTTGGAATTAAGTTCGTAGCATTTTGATACGAGAAGCAAAGCATTGTAACTTAAATGTTCACTGTTAGTAACTATTAGATAAAATTGGGTAAAAGACCGGCAGAACTGCAGTGGGATGCAGCAAAGCATCAAGAAATTAAATGCCATTATGTGAACGTACTGGCACGTACATCTTCGATAACTCGTGAGAAATTCGGGTGGGTTTTTGGGCAGCTGACAACGCGTTACCCATACAATCATGCTCGAATACCACGAATTTTTCGATAAAACTCTTTGAACTATAGAATTTTGGTAATTTTTTTGCGAATAAGCAGTAGGACTTCTATCAGCTTGAAACTAAAAAAAATTCCATAAAGACAAAATGTCATTGAACACGTTATGGGAATCAATAGCTGATTGCAGTTTACTCTTTGCATAAGTTTTGCAAAAGTTTTATTTTCACACTAAAAAGCCGGCAAGTATTGCATATTGAAGATAATATGCGATCCCTTTAACTCTTTTCTCTTGTCAGTGTATGAAAATTTCTTAAAAGGAATACTCGTCACCTCGTTCATTGTCAATCGCGTAATACAAAACTCCTGCAACTATATGTAAATAAACATATGCGTGAATATATTGTCTTGATTTCATTGCAGATATATGTATATATTTCAATTTCCTCTGCCTTGGCGGTATATTCAGTTTTACAGATTTGTCTACGATTCCGATGAGATGCCAGCATTTAACTTAATTTCTCGCTTCAACAATTATGAAATTAATTTAGTTATATTTACTTTTGAACGCAAATTCGTTTGCTTGTCTCGTTTGTGCAAGTGTGCAGCAGCAAGTGTTCTTTGCCAAGTTAAACATCTGCATTGAGTGACTGACTTTGTTTATAAAAAATCGCATATGCTCAGATCGTTGATGAATATTTGATTCTTGCATATAGAAATAATTTCCGTTTCCGTTCGTTATATTGAAACACATTAACTCTTGCGGGAGTAGAGATTTTGTCTGCCGCATGTTGTGTTGAAAAACCCGAATTAAATAGAAAAACAAAAAAAAAAGAAAAAGTAATAGTAAAAAACAAAAATTCAATTAAAGGAAAACCATCAAATTATCAAAGAGTTGAAATTATATATATTCAGTCGCAAATGCAATAACGAATCTTGCTTTTATTTACTTTTTTTTCTTTTTTTCTTTTCCGTGGTAGGTGGGAGGAAACATCTACGAATACCGCTCTTTTTTACTTGCTACAGTAATTGTTGTTGTTGTTGTTATTTTTGGCTTTATTTCAATTACCTTTCATTATATTTTTTATAATAAATAAAAAATTTAAAAAAAAACGTTGAGTTTTGCTTCTTTTTTTTTTTTTTTTGTTTTTAAATCATCTGAAGTAAATAATCACTGACAATGAGTTTCCAGTCAAGAGCATACCAATCAAACATGTTGAACATCAAGTACATGGAGCGAATCACTTAATCAGCATCAACGGAAACGGAAATTGTTACACTTTGTATACGTGTATGTACGTAAACACCCTTTCTTTTTATAAAAATACCTACGTATGTATGTATGTACACGTATGCGAATAATAAAACATACAACAAGCGATTTCATTCATGTAATCATTCATTCGTTCGGTTTTATAAAATATTTTGTGCATGGCATTGCATGCATGCAACGCAATACATGCAATAAATTCAATGCATGCAGTAAATGCTGTGTATATCGTTCATCCAACAATTGATTGTTATTGTATTGTGCAATGATGGCAGCTTTTAAATTACACTTGATTCGATATTTTTACATTTAAGTTAATGTCGATCCACATAGCTACGTACCTGTGTACCTTTACTACCTTTCTCATGCTCACATGTACTATTGTTATTATTTGCGTTTCTACTGACGCTATGTGGCAAATAAGAATAACAGCCACTCTAGTATACACATATATATATATATATATATACACACACACACACACACACACACACGCAAACACATAGACATCCACTTGCACTTGAATTGCACAAAACGTGAGTTTTATTTTACACTATGGAGTTTTATACATTAAATGAATATTTGCCGGCTGCTCTTTCCCATTGCATCTATAGTTGGACAGTTGGTTAAAAAAAAAAAAAATACCGGTATTCACACTAAATATACCGTAGTTGCGGAAATGTTTAACTTCGTACAGTTATGTTGATGGTGTACGCCGCTTTTCTTTTTTTTTTTTTTTTTTTTTTTAAGGAACATATCTCCATATGGACGTAGTGCTAGTGGGGCTATAGCAGGATTCTTTTATTTTTACTGCTTTCGCTGTAAAATCTGGATGCTTGTGTTGGTGCATGTATTAATATGAACTGTGAATTTTTTCTGATATCACGTTAAAGTGATTTTCACATTTAAAACGTGATTGAAATTCGAATAAATACCCATATGATTTTCGATGCTATCGTTTTTTATTACATGGTTGTCGTTAAATGCTGTGAAGACAACTTAATTTATATACGTAACCTTTCATTTGAACGAATGAACAATTTAAGGGAATTCGTTACATTTTTTTCTTTCCAATTTTTAAGCAAATAACATTTAGTTTATAAATTTATAAATGTTCAAAATAACTCTCTTTGCTTATTCCGAATGTTTTCCTTGCTCCTAGAACGAGTACCGAACTGCTGGCTAGCAGAACTTTTTGCAGAACGACTTTGCTCAACGTACTCTCTTTTTTCTTGTCCCCCCGCACAAAGGTTAAGATGAATTCGATTTAATTGTAGCTTTGAAGTCGCTCGGACAATCTCTTATATATTTTATTGTACCGTATGCGCTTAAATGTAGCATCAATAAGATAGCGAGAATTAGGGAGGGAGTCGCTAATATAAACACGAATTTATTTTTCCCGCACGGCATAAGTAACTACCTAACAATGGTGAACTCCTAAGTTGCAATGCCTACGGTATAGTGTAATAGTAAGGGGTCCAGCTGTCCGGTGCAGTGGACAATGCTTTGTTCGATCGGATAGTAATTTAAACTAAAGTATTTAAAATCGAATATGGAGTTGTACCATGCAGTAAAAGTTTACATGGGAAAAATACTCAAATTACTACCAGTCATCGACGATAGATATGCCATAGTTAGGGTTATGCATTAGAGTACTCTCAAAGAATTTTATGATCTAGGAAAAAGACACTTGGCACGCGACAACATCGTATGACGATTAACAAGTCCTTTACATTAGAACTATGCACTTTATGCTTAACTGGCATGCGGCCTGTATTAAACTCTCTTACGAAGAAGGGTTTCGCCAAAGAGATATGCCTTCATACCGAATGAAAGAAATGAAAAAGTTGATTGAATTCTACGGTCGCCAGATGTGAGCAGGACAGAACAAGTTAAGCCTTTATGATGAAATACACGTGATGCGCGAGACTTGACAAGGTACTAAAAAGACAGCTGTACTTAGTGAAGTTGAGATAGTCAAACACATTGCTGCCAACGTACTGACAACTGTTTATCATTTATCGATTAGTGTAAGATTTGCTTTCCTTATAAAGTTCTTGGAAAAACAAATCACTCTGTTCAATCACATCGCCGAACTCTCTATATATGCTTACGACGTCAAAATAATGCGATTCATTTTACATTCCAATATTCCATGCAGTGTGTTTGGCATCACTTTGACAAATCTCCTTACAAAACAGATAAAATGTTTTGTCTTTTTTCCTTGGCTGCTTTCTGGCAGCCAAAATAGATTCGTAAGTTTACTACTGTAGTCAATGAGATTTTGTTAAGTGCTTGCTTGACATTCGCATTTGCCCGCAAGTGCATTAATGCATGGTAGGTGGAAATGTAGCGCGCTTTGTAAGTATATCTAGAGGTGCATTGTCTCTTCACTGCACATGATTTCTCTTTAAAACGACTATTCTACGCCTGAATAAGGGATAGACCTTTCTTGGATAGATTTTTATTTTAATGAGATATACATGCACATGAATGAAGCACGCTAGGGAAGCGAGGGAAACACGAATATTTGCCGTGGATGATTTCGGCAAAAGTTGGTTTGAAGGAAACAAAGATTTGACAAGGAAAAGCGCTTCACTTTGAATTAGGCTGCTTGCAAGACCACGCAATATTTCAAAATTTAAGCTACGAGTGAGAGATAAGTCGGGGTGATTCATCAACGATTACAGGTCTAAAGAGATTAAAGGTTGAGATACTCTGTTGTTAAGCAAAAAATTTCAATAAATTTTCTTACGAAGCTTTTCTAACTTAAACTTATGTGCATGTGCGTGTTTGTGTGCGGGTAGTAAAAAAGATTCCTTTTACGTAAAGAAAATCATTTGCAGTTTTTCTTCTTTTTTTTTTTAAATTATGTGTATGTGTGCAAGTAGTAAAAAAAAAAATTCCTTTTATATAAGAAAAATTATTTGCAGATTTTTTCTTTTTGTTTTAAGTAGAACAGACAATAGATCGTTAATTTTTATATGTCTCGTGATATTTAATACTTAGTCAAATCGTCTTTGGTTTGAAATGTGATAACGTAAATAATAATTTTTTATGTCATTATATTGCTAACGATATGACGGGAAGTGTAATAAAATCTTCTACCACATAAAGCAAACTTAAAAATTTATTTTCACGCATATACTTATATGTAAATTATATTAATGTGAACACAACATATAATATATTATGCTATACAAGCGGTTGTTTCGATTTCTATAACAATGGTGTGTATGCACATATGTAGGTAGGCTTTTAATTGACAAAAAACAAAGTCCTTTTGCATAATGAGTTCGATGCGGTCAACATAAATATAAGAATAACATTTTAAAAAAGAGACACTAGAGAAGAGACGAGGCAGTAACGGGTGTTACCTAGATCAACATTTTAGGACAATTTGCAAAACCTTACTATTGTTCCGATGCCAGTAGGAGGTTTTCCAATTGCTTTCACATTGCTAGTTATGT